GGGGCCAAACTCAGAAAAGCTTTAAAAGTACCAACTTCACAAACCCCCACCACTGTCCATTTAGATTAAAAGCACAGTAAATTCAGGATTCTGAGGTCACCGAGAGAGAAATTGGAGACTTGAGGTACCTGGACCTAATGGTCAGGGGTCCCTTTACCCTTTACCTAGCTGCAGGAGTTGCTGAAAGGAGGCATACAAGACACCATCCAACCACCTTAGGGACTCCACTCCAGATTTGTGTAGGGTTTATTCCTTAGCCTTTTTTCCCCCAAAGATGTCCCACAAGGCAGCAGGTTTTTTTAAAAAAATAATAATATCCAGATGAATGTATTGCAGATAATTTCTTTTCCTCTTCATTGATAATCCTGCTTTAAGTTAGCCGACTTCTCAGTAACTTCCAGTTCAGGGACTTTGCACTTTTTATCACTTAATAATTGGATCAATTCATCTACCTCCTCTAGCACAAAAAAGGTTGATTTTAAATCAATTAGACACAGATCAATTCACCCTTGCTCATTCTCCTGAGGCCCTGAAAAACACATTTATTGTAAGTCATCCATCAGATTCATTCCATCCATTCTCTTGCTCCTAGTACGGCTTACACTTCCCCCCTGCCTCCTCAACTTTGGATTCACTTTAAGAGACATTTAAACATATAACCGCCTGACATTCGGCTGTCTCCCTTGTGCCTTCTGGCTCATGAGAAAGGCCACGTGTCATCCTTGGAAGGAGGGTGTCAATGAACAGGGCCCTGTCACTATCCCTGGGACAGCGCTCTGACCAGTACCATCACTGGAGACCTGCTTCTGAACTGAAAATGGAAGTGAGCACCACTGTTGCCATTTACACACACACCATGCATGTAGTTCTGCAGGAGGCTCAATATTCATGCATACGCAAATGTGAACATTACAGTCCAAAGCACTGATGGCTCATGTGTCAGCTTGCTGAAGCAGGGTGATCTCTGTTGCAGGAGGGAGGGAGGGAGGGTGGCAGAGCACCCACTGCCCCTTACAACAGAGAATCCATTGTTGTTGTTGTTGATTAGTCGTTTAGTCGTGTCCGACTCTTTGTGACCCCATGGACCAGAGCACGCCAGGCCCTCCTGTCTTCCACTGCCTCCCGCAGTTTGGTCAAACTCATGCTGGTAGCTTCGAGAACACTGTCCAACCATCTCGTCCTCTGTCGTCCCCTTCTCCTTGCACCCTCCATCTTTCCCAACATCAGGGTCTTTTCCAGGGAGGCTTCTCTTCTCATGAGGTGGCCAAAGTATTGGAGCCTCAGCTTCAGGATCTGTCCTTCCAGTGAGCACTCAGGGCTGATAGCTGCTGCCATGAAGATTAAAACAAAATACAATAGGAACAAATTTGGAAGGGTGCTTGAATTTCCAGGAGGTTGCAGGGTAAGGATGGATGAACCTCTCAGTTTTGGTTTCTTTCCGTTTCTCCTTTCTTTCTTTCTTTCTTTCTTTCTTTCTTTCTTTCTTTCTTTAGTTCAGCTCTCCATATTTCTGCATTAGTTTGTGAATGTATTTTTTTTTAAAAAAGTGGACATTTCTCCCCATCTGCATGTTTTGATATGCATTTCTTTCCTGACATACATATTTTTGCAAGCAAGTTCCCAATACTGAATATATTTGTGTATGTTGTTTTATGCTAATGTACACGTTTATGCACTCCTCCTCTAAGCATTTCTCTAAGCATTTCTCTAAGCAACACTATTTTGTTGGCAAACAGCATTGGGGGACAGCAAGGAAACAGGAAAATTACTAAATGTGCAATGCAAGCTTAATACAGCAATTGTTAATAAAATATGCAAAGGAAGGGGAGAAAGGTAGTTTAATTTTCTATAAAGACCTCTCCATATGTTTACCCGGGAAACTGGGGATTTAGTGGGCTTTGCATCTGAGCTAACATAGGAGAAGAATTTATGCCATGCTGAATAACTGATCTATTATTGTCTAACCTCTAAGGATTCTCCTTTGATGCATTAAGTGTCCCAAAGCAAACTTAACTTCATGAGGGTCAAGACCATTGGCAAATGTGGACTCAGGCTGCACCATGGGGGATGCGAATGAAATATGAGTCACAGCCATGATGACTTTCACGATGAGTGTTGTTTCAGTTGAAATTAGCTGCATCCTTGGTGGGGGGGGGGAAGGTTCTAATTTTACTAAGTGAGTGTCTCAGAAGCAGTGTGGTCCAGTGGTTAGTTTATCAGACTATGCCCTGGGAAGCCGGGGTTCAAATCCCCACCCAGCTATGAAGTTCACTTCAGCTGGTCATTGTCCTTCAGCCTAACCTACCTTACAAAGCTGTTGGGAGGATAAAATGTGGCCATTGGAAAACCATGTATGCCATTTTGAGTTCTTTGGAGAAATATAACCAATAAAATTGCAAGACAGGCACCTCCCCACTCATGCACAATCAGCACGCGTTCGACCGCTGACCTGTGTGCTGTTTTCGGCACCAAAAGGGGGCAGAACGGGGGCAGAATGGGACAGGGGCAGAGCAGGGGGTGGAACAGGGCTGAACGGACTTGTGCGCATCCCTCTGATTCCCCTGTACATTCATTTTCAGTTGCTTCTGGAACACTCCGTAGCTGCAACCATTCAAATGTAGAGCAATCGCAAGGAAGTCTAGGGTGTGTGGTGAAGTAGCTTTCTAAGCTCAAGCGAGGAGGTGGCAGGAATGGCTTTCCCCCTCTTCCATTGAACTTAAAACATATATATATATATCTCAAGTTGCTTTCAGCTGGAGGAGAAATATTTCAGATTTGCTACTGGTGTAGTTCATCTCCCTTATCTGTGGTATGCTGTGATTGAATGTGGGGGCGCCTTTATTTTATTTTTTTTAAAGATATTTATTGAAATTTTGAACAGTAAACCAAACTTCACAATCAAAACCAAAAAAAGAAAGTAAGAAAGAACATTATCACAATCAAATAAAAACAGAAAAATACAATACAAAACATAAAAAGTAGAAGAAAAAAGACATAAAAAAGACATAAAAATCCATTTTCTTACTTATTGTTTTCATAACCCTCCTTCCTGACTTCCTCACATCTCCCTTTTCTGTGTTCCCTTTTACACAATCGTATTCAGCAGTGCCTTACCCTTTTTCAAATCTTATTCTATGTTATACATTTCAACTATTATGTCTCCAATTTTTCCCTTTATATCATTTTGTTTAAATTTGACATAATGTTATTCTAACTTTTTCACCCTTATTCTCATAAAACATTTTTTACATATTCCTTTCAACTATGTCACTAATGCCATATTGTCTTTATATCCTGCATCATTTTAGCATTCAAACATTTTACAATGTTTTTGCAGGTAGTCTTTAAATTTCTTCCAATCCTCTTCCACTAGCTCTTCTCCCAGGTCTCGGATTCTGCCAGTCATTTCTGCCAATTCCATGTAGTCTATCACTTGCATCTGCCATTCTTCCAGAGTGGGCAAATCTTGTGTCTTCCAGTGCTTTGCGATAAGTATTCTTGCTGCTGTTGTTGCATACATAAAGAAAGTTCTATCCTTCTTTGGCACCATTTGGCCGACAATGCCCAAGAGGAAGGCCTCTGGTTTCTTAGGGAAGGTATATTTAAATACCTTTTTCAATTCATTATAGATCATTTCCCAGAAAGCCTTGACCTTTGGGCATGTCCACCAAAGGTGAAAGAATGTTCCCTCAGTTTCTTTACATTTCCAACACTTATTATCTGGCAAGTGGTATATTTTTGCAAGCTTGACTGGGGCCATGTACCACCTATATATCATTTTCATAATATTTTCTTTTAAGGCATTACATGCCATGAATTTCACACCGGTGGTCCATAACCGTTCCCAGTCAGCAAACATAATATTATGACCAATGTCTTGCGCCCACATGTGGGGGCGCCTTTAGATCCTACAGATCCAAAGTCTCTCCCCCATATGCCTCTGGCACACACCTTCTCAAGGGCCTCATTTTGTTGCATTTTCATTTGAAAGACTTGTGTCCCACCCTTTGCTGTGCAGCCGTTTGATGGGAACCACTGGAGTGGAGAGTCGTGTTGTGCTCAGATTCTGCTTGTGGGTTTGCCATAGGCATCTGTGATAAGAGAGGGGCTACTGGTCTATCCGAGCAGGGCTGTCCTTACGTTCTCGTGAGCCCAGGGCCAGTTACAGCAATAAGACACTTGAAACAATTGGCAACATTAAAACACAATAAGCAACTCGGTGCAATTAGATACTGTAAAACCTCTGCCATCTGTCAGCCAATTCCTTCACATTCAAAGGCCTGAAGGGAAAGGCAGGTCTTTAGCTGGCACCTAAAGATGGATAGCATTGCTTAGATCCGGCATAGATGTCAAATGAGTACAAAACACCTGCTGGTGTTTTATTTCATTAGGAAAGGGGGGGGTGAAACCCAGAATATGTAAACAAAACTGGTGACTGTGCTGTGTGCACCACTCAATAATCATGCCCAGAAATTGGTTTTGAGGACTTCAGTATCATTTCTGTAACTTGAATGAAAAGTACTGCCGAGTGCCAGTAAGCACCTCCTAAAATGGAATCTCCCATAAAGCAGAGCTGCTTTGTAACTCTCATGTCCCCGTCCCCCCCCTTTCAATAAACCAAATGCTGGTTGTTCCATAATTGCAAAACACACAGGTAATGAAAACAGTTTCAGCCTCGGTCCTTTTGCTTGCTTTCTCTCCACCCACCACCCTTCCACCCCCCATCTGTCCTGCTCTTCCTCCCATCTGTTTCTTTAACTCAGTCTGCTGGAATCCTGCTTCATGAAATGGAATCTAAATTCCTAACACAAGCCCTGTATCAGTCACCTACGTACGTACGCACACACGCACACATGGAGAAGCCTTCTGAAGAAGAAGCACCGACCTCACATTCGGTAGCCGTTTGTCAAGCCTGATTATTTCATGGACAAGCAGTCCTTTTTCAAACGACAACAGGGCAGGATAGGTTTAAGTATGAACAAAATGTGCTCTGATTCCAGATGATGCGCTTCTGACGAAAAGAAGGGGAGAAAGAAGAACCCCAGGTAATCCTTTAATCAGCTGTTGGCAATGTTTTCGGGACCTTTGGGCAAACTTCGCTTGATGATGCCAAGTATATGGTAAGTGCTTTGCCACTTAACTCATTTATCTGTGGGTCTTAAATTCTGTACAGCAATCTACTTGGTTGCATGCATTCTGACACAAGTTTTGGGGTTTGTTTGTTTTTTGCTGAATGGAAAACAATTGGATTACGTCTTTGATTGTGCTTAATGGCTTGTGTGTCTTATGTAATCACATGTGATAGTGTTGGGTTCTCACCCCCCCCCCCCCGGTCTACACTGTTGTGATCTTGGGAATACTTGGTATAGCTATGTGCAGCTTGCAAATGCAATGTATGTATTCCTCCTGCAGGTGAATTTGTCTAGGTGAATGCTTCAAGTTGTGGGGAAAGAGGGAACAAACTTTCATAAAAGTTTAGAAGCTGACATTGTGATCTAGCCAAAGTGAAGCACTTTCGAATCCCATTGATTTAAGTGTATGGCCAATTCTCCCTGTAAAATCAATGGAACTTATAAAAGCACTTAACTTTGGCATGAATATGCCATGAGAAATTAATCGTAAGTTGGGTTATTCTCCCAGTTGTGTATAGTTCCACAATATAGATGTGACGTGTTTAGATTAAAATGTAGTCTTTGTTAATTGGTAGTATGCTCTCCATCACGAGGTGCTTTATTAAGAAACATTATTTAATCAGTGAAATCCTAGAGTGTGGCATCTCATTTAGCCAGTTATTTAAAGTGTGTGTTAATTCTTTGGAAACTGAAGTTTCGCTTAGAATGTCCTTGGAATTAGACGTCTGTCTCTTTTGATTTACTAGGACTTGACTCAACCATATTCTCTCTTATGCATTGTGTTTAAGAGCCTCATGCGGCCACCACAAAGGTACAATTACCATTCCTGTCTACAATTAGGCATTTTACAGCGCTAGAGCAAACAGGATCAAATTTTAATTTATTCCTAATTATTACCAAGGTATTTTCCGAAACGTGATGGCATTAATTAATTTAGCACACAGCTGGGGTTATCCTCACAGTCCTTCCCTTTGTCAGCTGATTATTTCTGCCACTGTAAAATGAGACACAAAATCAAACACTTCTACAGTGCATTCTCTTCTGTGATTCTTGTCAATTGAAAGTAATGAATCGCCTCCCCCTTTGACACACAAATAAGCTTTTATGCTGTAAGAAGAGTTACAAATATGCAATGAGTTTAACTTAGACATCAAAGCACTTTCCCAAGATGAAAATGGGACCAAGGGAAAAAAAGTTGCAGTAATACCATTAAATATAGTAATAGTTCCATCAGGAGATTAATGCTAGTGACATGGACGACTTTTAAAAGGTATGGATAGTGCTTTTGAAGATCTTTACGTGTGCATTTCAATAGCTACAACCCATTTATCGATTTTATAACAAAAGCCTGAACTACTTAAAAATGAAAGTCAACGTTGAATGGCTTATATTAATCATTCCTCCTAATCTCAAGATGTAAAGCAACAATTAAGCTGCATTAAAGCCAATGAAAGTTTTAATACTGATCTCCGTGACAGGTGAATAGGGTGAGTATCTCAAAAATTTGCACACACATAGGCTTCTATCCAACACAGTGGCAGGAAATGTCACATCAACCCGTGGATTTACATTTGTGCCACAGGACATTTCCCCATATGCACCCCAAATTATGTGTGTCCCCCCCCCAACCCTCTGGAGCAGATTTTGGGAGGCTATAATGTACCCACAGCAGAGGAGGAGGAGGAAATTCTCATTGGGCAAGTGTAAATCCTTGCACAGTTGCTTGGTGCTGCCTTGGATACAAGCCCAAGCTCCCAATGTAAATCAGACAATTTGCCTCCATGATGCTATGCGAAGGTCACCAATGTGATGCCCACAGGTGTGCTCATGAAGCCTGACACTGCTGTGCAGATCTTGTTTTTGCTAATAAAGAGTTAACTCCAACTTACTTGGTTTAATTTGCTGCTGGCTCGCTCCTGTCACCTGTATCCAACCTGTCCATTGCAGCTATTTAAAATGGCCTGTGCATGCCTGTCTCCAGCCTTTATTATCCGCTATGAAAATGGCCTTAGGCCCCATTGCTCCAGTAGCTCCACAGTTCTCAGCAGAATGAAGCTAACAGTGTAACAGCACTTGGTCGTGTATTAGCATGCATTTTGTTCAGCGACGTACTGTGGAGTTCTTGACAAGACTAAAACAGTAATGGCAATGAAGGTATTATGTGATGTGATAAAGTTACTACAAAGTAGCAGTACCATATCAGTTTCACGTGGGAATGTTTTGTGTAAATGTGCCCTCCTGTGTTGAGCGCTGGTATTTATCACACCATGGCAAGCTACTGAAACGAAGGCCTCTCTTTGATGTGGAAGATAGTAGCTCTTGCCATGGGACAAATGCATTCAAACAAAATATTGGCCACACCGAAGTGACACAGTCAATTCAACTTGTGGTATTATTAGTTTGCGGATATTTTGTTCATGTGCCAAGAGTGAGGGCTTACAACACTAAGGCATCATATGGTACCTTGTGGCCCAGTGGAGATAAAGGCAGAGTATAATTAAATAGTATATGGATCATAATCAGATCTTCCTGTGTTTAACTATGAGGCTACGATTTCTGTGGCTTTTGCTTCTTCTTTTAATGGAAAGGCAAGTTATAATAAATGAACGTGAAGGAGAAGGATTGTAGCTCAGAGGCAGAGAGTCTGCTTTGCATGTAGAAGGTATTGGGTTCAAATCCCTGGCATCTCTTGGTGGGGCTGAAATGCCCTCTGCCTGAGGATCTACAAGTCAGTGTAGATAATAATGAGCTAGGTGGAGCAATGGTCAGATTTGAGATAAGGCAGCTTCCTATGTGTTCCTATGTATTTCTAACCTAGGAGCATTTTTTGCTGCTATAGAAAGCATGAGAATGAACTTTGTGAGAGAGCATTGTAGAGTTCCACTGGAATTTTTATTCGAATCTTGCCAAGTACTTGATACGTTGCCAAGTAAACATAGTGATGCCAGCAGTCATGCTTGGGCTCTCCGCTTTTCGTTTGGCACAGAAGTGCTGAGCGCCCTCCGTGACCAAAGACAGTCACTCCGCTGCCTGTGCTATCGCATAGCTTCTGCTGAGTTAACTATAGAGTGAAACTGCAGAAGGAGTCCTCTCAAATCAGCAAATGCATCTCTGAGCCCCGGGGAAGGGGTGTAAACAAGGGGGTAGCAACAGTTTGAGCGGCTTTTGAAGATAGACAGTTTGCAAAAACAGGAAGTATGCAGTAAAATGTGCAATGGAAGAAGAAAAAAAGAGTGAAGAAGACTCGGAATGCTAGAAGGATAAGGGTACACAAAGCAGTTGAGATGACTTGTAAAGAACTGGCTGATTCCTGTTGGGTGGGAGCAAAAGTCCCACAAAGTCCTCAGCAGGAAGAAAGTTGTTCACTGTTGATTTGATTCCCAGGGGGTGGGGGAGATGTACCAAGACAGTTCTCTTTGCCTCCCTTTCAAATACTTAGCATATTCCTTCCTCTTTTTTTATCTGAGGCTACAGAGGGAATCGATGCTTGTGTCGTCTGTGCAATCAAGTTTGCTTTGAATTTGACTTTCATACAAAATCAAACGTCTTCTTCGAGAAGTGTGCGCAAATAAATGCCGAGCCAATGGCTTAACAGTCAAGTAAATTTAGAAAAGAATAAAGCACTGTTGGTTTAAATGTAGACGAGGGACTGTGACAGGCAGATGTTTTATTAGGTCTGGGATTACAGTGGTCTCTGCATACTTGGAGACCACGATCCTTCTGCACATTTTCCAAATCACAAAAGCACCAATTTTCAGCTGCCACATTTTGTGTTGCATACCTCTATTTGTAAGCAGGGTTTTTTCCAGCCAGAACTCAGTTCCGGGTCCTCTCAGGTGGGCACGTTTGCCTTTATAAGCGAACAAAGGAGGCATTTGTGGTGAGGTCCAGCACCTCTTTTTCTCAAAAAATAGCACTGTTTGTAACCACTGTTAAGAGTAATGTTCCTCTGTTATGCCACTGCCAGTTATTCTTAACACAGAAGAGGAATCTGGTGGTAGCAGATTTATTCATTTAATTATTGTATTTATAACCCCCCCCCTTTCCTCCAAGTGGTCTCTGGCTCTCCATGTCATCACTGTCCTGTCAGGTAGGTGAGGTTGAGCATTGGTGATAGGCCCGAGGGTACCATGTGAACTTCATGGATAGGAGTGGATTTGGACCCAGGTCACAATACAGGCCTCTAACCACTGCCCTGCACTGGAAGATCTCCCGCACATACCCACCAACAGAAGTGGTTTGCCAGTGTGTGGATTTGAAAGCAAATGCTGCAACCATGTATTTATTACAATGGAAATAAGAAGCAGTTGCCAACATTTGACAAGCACAATCCTCCCACTATATGAATGGGAGCACTTCAGGTTAATGTCCTCTTGGCTTTAATGTGCCCTGCTTTCTCATGGTGTTCAAGGTACTTACCGGTCCCTTATGACAAGACTGCTACCTAACATTGCAACAGGCCCTATAGAAAGTCCAATTTTGATGCAGGTGAGTGCCCAAGGGGTCTTACACTTTATGAAACAAACAGATACCTGGATGAGAAGGAAGGCAGGGTTATCGATTACAGACCCTGCAAGTGTTTTTCCAGGGACAGTTCTGGATTTACAGAAGCAGTCCTGGTTTTTTATTTGATCATAGAATGTCCTGCTTTTTCTTAGGATTTCCCTATTTCCATCAGATAAGTGTTGGAGTCTATGATGTTATGTAACCCTTGACCCAAAGAAATCAGTAACCATACAACCTCTAAAGCAGGGGTCAGCAACCCGTGGCTCCGGAGCCGCACGTGGCTCTTTTACACCTTTGCCGGCTCCGAGGCAGATACTAGCGAGGGGAGGAGGCGCATTGTGCGCCCCGACACTCCCCACTGTGGCGGGCGCTGTACTGGCTGTGACGTCGCATGGGGGCGGTGCATGCGTTAGTCACGCACCGTCCCAACGTCACCTTCCCGCCCGCTGTCAGATCGGAGGGCAGCGGCGCGCATGCTTTAA